ATAAGCACAAAGATATGCACCCGCTGCTCTCGGGTGGTCGCATCATCCTCGAAAGCCGCCGATCGGTGAATGCCTTTAGCACTAAACTGAGTCGACTCTACCTCAGCACGAGCCCGAACAACAATCGGACCCAACAGCTCCTCAACCTCAGGTGAGAAGACACTAATCTCGTTGTCAAATTGCAGCGAAGTAAAACTAAATTTCAGTCCCGTAATGAGACTGAAGTCGGTCGGGGTTACCATCATCTCACCCCAAGGGAAGTGAAAAGTGTTAGTGGTGTCCCAAAAGAACCCCACCAAGGCGCGAGCCACGTGGTGACCCCCGTTAGAGGCAATCATCGCCTCCAAGGTCTCAAACAGCGCAATCAATCTGCAAGACTCCCAGAGAAGTCTTACCTCTCATCGACGATGATGTACAACTTGTATAGGTCGCCCAGGGTATCGGAGCCTGAGCCGTGGTAGCGCGTCCTAGCAACCGTGATCCCACGTTGCACCCTCTCAGAGATGTGGTGGACGGGGGAGAAGTACAGAGTCCGCTCATCCCACTCAGGGAGTGCACCAAGAGAAATGGACGGGTCGACGTCCTCCTCTACGGGCTCAGGCTCCCGTCACGTGTCTCAGGACCGTGAACCCGAACCTCGTTGTCTAGCCATGCTAAATTGTGGAAAATCAATATAAATTAAGGTTCTATAGTATCTAAGGTTTGTCTAGCCGCATGATACTATGTTCGCAAAAAATAGAGTACGTAGTACTTAAACAGAGCACAATTTCAAATTGAGCATACACGACATTTTTCAAGCAATCAAACAAATTCTTGCAATACTATGGTAATTATTGTGATAAATTGGACAAGAATCGCTAGCAAAAACATCAAGAACAAGCTACATTGTCTTCCCGACCTTAAGAGGTCCAACAATGGTGATTTGTTCGTTTCTTGGCCAAATTGAGTCAAACAAGTCTCAAATTACTCCCAAGGCAGTATAAACATAATCAAGCAATTTCATGGCATAAAATTTTAAAAACAAAGTGAATTAAGCAATATAAATTTTGAATTTTTAAGAAATTTGTGAACAAACATGTGCAAAATTCATCAAAATCGGAGTGAGTTTGGAGAAAACTTACATAGATCGGGAAATTAGATGAAAGAAGCTTCAATTTGCAACAAACTTGGGCAAATTCGATTGAGAAACGAGCGAGAACGAGTGAATTGAAGCTCAGCGGCGATTCTCGAACAAAAGCAAGCAGTAGCATCAGAAATGACAAAGAGGAGGGGTATATATACAGAAATCCCGACTCTAGTGCTAAGCGACAGGCCTTGTTGCAAGACGATAAGGTTTAGTGCCTGGCACTAGTTCTAGCGTCTGGCGCTAGAGCCAAATTTGTGGCGCCAACAGAATTTCAGCGGCGACAGAATGCTTAGCCACTCAAAGCGGTTATTTTGACCTCATACAATATTTTAGGGTTCCTTAGTACGCCAGTTAGCCCCTCTAAGAAATTTGACATGGTTTGGTAATCGGCTTGATTACAATTGCATAAAGTAATCGACCTGATAAACGATTATCTCACTTAGCTTAAAGCGCCTAAGTATTGGCTCATCAAAAGGCACCGACGTAATGGTTCATATAGCAAAGGCACCAACATAATGGTTCATACAGCAAAAGCACCGACATACTGGTTCACAATTCAGAAGGCACCGACACACAGATTCAAAAGCAGTAAAAACGCCGATGTACCGGCATAGCGGAAGCAAAGTTCAAGCGAGCTTTATATATCGACAAGCGTGGGTCTTCGGTAATTTTCCTCAGAATATTATCGCAACAAATGAGGATAACTTCAGGCGAGGATATTTTCAACAGCGTTCCCTAGCTTGCGGAGAGTTGTCACAAACAACTGGAGGAGATTTCAAGCGAATTTATCTTCGATCGTGTTCCCTGGCTTGCGGAAGATGGTCACAAAGCGCTAGAAGGTCGTTTTTAGCGAAGCAATCTTTGATTGGGTTCTCTAGCTTGCAGAAGTCTATCATGACGGAATTGGAGGCAGTTACAAGCGTAGCAGTCTTCAGGCGGCATTCTCTAGCTTGTAGAAGATCGTCAAAACAAACATCAGGATGGCGTTCCCTAGCTTGCGGAAGGTTATCACAACAACAGCAATGCAACAACAACAAATTGGTTACCTTCAACGGCGTGTGCTCGACGGTGCAAGATACGCATTTCTTAACTCTCTTATCTATTAAACTAACGCTAGTTTACAGGTATCGGCGTTACAAGAATGATTGAGGATCGTAGAACGTTCTGAATCATTCTCCATCCCAATCGATACTTTGACTTTTGTTTTCGAAACTTGCGTTTTAATCCAAACTCAGTCAAAGTGGGGGCTTCTGTAGACACCCATTTGCGTCTCCCCAAAACCGAACCCAGTAATGAGTACCTTTCACGTCGAATCATAATCGAATGAGGTGAAAGTGTTGAAAGTCTAGTGTTATGGATAGTTTTAATTCTTTTCTTTCTCTTTTTTTTGAAAACCTATTTTAAGAAAACATCCAATCCAGTTTGGTTTGGTCCATAGAAAGGGTCAAATAATGGTGTAGTTGGATGGGGCTTGAAAGGAGCTTTCCAACGATATATTTTAAGCCCAATTCCGATGAATAATGAGGAAGTTATGGCCAAATTACTAAATGGGCCCAGTTTGATGTTTATGTGCGGCCCAATGATCTAGAGGAGGGCCTAATTTGGATTTATAATTCCTAATGCAATTAGAATTGATTTTAGTCTTCTAGAATCTTCTAGAAGGTTCTTTTCGTTCCTAATTCAATTAGCATTGATAAATTGACTTTGGTTGACTTTTTGGAGTTTTAATCAGAATAAAAGAGTGTTTTTAAGGAAAATACGATTTTGTCCCTCTGTACAGCTAATTGTTATCAAAATTAAGAAAACGCGTGAAATTAATGATTATCGCCTGACGACAGGGATTAGCGCCTGGCGCTAATGCTTGGTGCCTGACACTAGCCTTAGCGCCTGACGCTAATGTCCAGCGTCTGGCGCTAACCTATTTTATTCTCGTCGAAACTCTGATTTGTTTTTCTATCCGTCCGACTGATTTTCTCTATAAATAGTCTCCTAAAACCTCCGTTTTCAATCATCAATTAGCATCAACTCTCTAGATTTCTCTTCTCTCTAAGCTAAAGCTTTCAACCAACCCTTTTGCATACGAAATTCCGCATTCACAAGACCTAGGAGCACCTAGCCAAGTTCAAAGTTGCCTTCGCCCTAGACGTGAAAGGTTTTAATTTCTGAGGGTTTGGTCCCAAATCTCACTTTCTATTATTTAATTTAATTGTTTGTTTATTATTTTCCTTGAAGTTACTAACGCGTGTATTTTGTTAGTAGAAAGAGGTACGAGGCATCCAAGTAAGTGCTTTAATTGTTTACATTGTTATTATGATATAGAAATCATGTCTAGGTTGTTATTATGATTCCTATTGTCATGTTAAGGCGCTTTGATCTTCCTAGTATCATGTTTAGGGTAACAACTATAATTTCTATTATCAAATATGACAATTGTGTTTCCTGCAATGCCTCCTATTTTCTCTTTCTAATATTCATGTTAGTATCATGTTAGGGCAAAAGCTTTGATTTTGGATGTTTAGTGACATGCTAGGGTTTGTTATTAATATTGTTAGTATCATGCCTAGGATCTTGCTATTATTATTATTATTATTATTATTATTATTATTATTATTATTATTATTATTATTATTATTATTATTATTATTATTATTATTATTATTATTATTATTATTATTATTATTATTATTATTATTATTATTATTATTATTATTATTATTATTATTATTATTATTATTATTATTATTATTATTACTATTGTGATGATTATTATGTTGCTTGATTATATTTATTTTTATTGCTTGATCACACCTTTTATGCATGTTTAAAGGGATTTTTGTACTTATAATCACGCTTAATAAGATAATTAATAATCTTATTTAGGGTTAATTTGATTATAACTCAAGTGATCGTTAATAATAGTTTTATTTGTGCATTAATATTCAACCAACATATATAAACAGGTTTAGGGTTAAATCTATTGATTGCATGTTAGTTAGTCAGAAAGCGCACATGAATACGATCAGAATAAAGCAGAGACCTATTCTTAGGGCAGGTTCAATTTCTTTTAGGTTGGATATGTACCTTCATCCCCAAACTACCAGTCATGGTTCCAGACCTATTGGAGTTGACGATCTCCTTGATCGTTAAGGGGTATAACCTTCACCATGTGAACGGTTTACAAGTTCCTAAAACTTGTTGGCAACACTTTTGCTCTATCTTCTTTCCCTTTGGACGCCACCATGTTTAAGTGTATGATCACAGTGGGGTTCAAGTTTTGGGTAATGCTTGAAATATTCCCTACAAAGAGGAATCGATGCAAACCCGGAGAAAGTGGAGGTAGTCCTAAGCCTCCCAGAACCTAAGTGCATCAAAGACATCATGCGACTAACAAGCACTACTACAAAAAGCATGTTTTTGGACGCCTTTTAGGCTTTTTTTCGACGCTAAAAAGCGTCGAAAAAATATTTCTCGACGCTGCTAAAAAGCGTCGAAAATACGCGAGTCGAGAATTTGGAGGGACACAAAAAAGCGTCGAGAATATCGACGCTTTTATGTGTCCTAACTAATATACGAAGTGTCGAAAAATACTTATTTCGCGCATTATCCCAAATGTGTATATATTTTAGCGACGCTTTTTGTTGTCTTGCGTTTATTCGTGTCAGCCTATGGTTTGACGGGAAACTCTTGAAATATGAAAAAATGTAGACATTAAAAAGCGTCTAGAGTTTTTTTAAGCTTTTTTTTTTCTTTTACTAAATTATTACCATCATATATACATTATAGTTATTTAAATTTACCATAAATTAAATTAATAACATTAAAATTAAAATAAACAAATATCATAACTATATTTAAAAAAATAATAAAACAATAATTAATCAACAACAATAAGAGTACGTAGTTAATTACCAAATTTACAAAAGAAAACATCAACACAATTAATAATAATAATTAAAAAAAAAACAAAAAAAAACGTCGCATATTATAGTAGCTTGTCCCTAAATAATACATCACTATTATAAGACTAAAAACCAAAATAGATAGATGATGGCCTTATAGACGATATAGTCGCTTGTTTTGATGCTCAACAGTCCTGGCCTATTCTCTTGCTGCACCTACATTGCTTTTTCCAATCTTTAAAAAAATAAAAATTACAAAGTATAAATTAGTACATTACAAAATATAGGCTCAAGATTCAACATGTTGTATTTAAACAACAATGAAAAGACCAATATTTAAACCAGAACATACACATGCTGAAAAAACTACATACAACTTTGAGAGCATATTAAGAACTAGCCTTCACTCACAATTGAGGATCAAGTTATATCCAAGTATAGCTATTACAGCTAGGTAATGCCAGATATTCTTGTTGTACCAAGATGATTCTGCTTTATCGACAGATAAATGGCATAAATCCACACTGCCCTCTACTCATTTTGCTAAAGCCAACAATATTATCCCTCATTCAATAAACAATAAACTACTTTCTAGTAAAAAAAAACCCATCAGAAGTTCACAAATACCCATCTTAAAACCACTAGAAGTAACAAAGTGTATAAAACTGTCTGGTTGACTGAGGGAGGCATTCCGCATGTATAGAGCTTTACATGCAGATATGAAAGAAAGAGGTGTAATCGGAAAGTCCAGTTTTCACGTGTCTGAATTGCATAGTTTTCCTTCCTCTTCAATTCCTCTCTAACAAAGAATGCTTCACACTTGCAGATAACCAAAATTCTATAGCTTCCTGTTGACATCCCTCATGCCAACCTCTCACCCCCAATAGAATGAAAAGCAAAATGGGGCATTGGCATAAAGTGATCTACTCAAGAAATCTATTAAAAATTAAAATACCAATAAAAAGGATAATCGACGCTTATACACTCACACAAGCTCTGAATTTCACACACATCTTATATATTCAATGTTCACTAGAACTAATTATCCACCCTTTAAAAAAAAGTAAAATGAACAGCAAAACATCAAAAAAAAAAAATTATAGTCAGTTAGTGTCTAGCATAAAGCTAGCAAATTTTTTGCACATTTAAAGATGTAGGTTACAGCTTAAGAATGATAAAGAATCCTCAAAAAAGGCAGAGTACATTGTAGCTCATATTTTTAACTCCCAAATGGAAGTTATATGCAAAAACAGATTTGATCACATTAATCACGGAAGCTAGCCAATAACACTCAATTCCAAAGTCAGTCAATTATTGAAAGAGGGAACCCATGGGTTTAGCTTTCTATAGGAGGTTTTAAATTATGTTCTACTTTGGCTTCATTTGTATCTAATAAATAAGATACTCAACCCATGTACAATTGCATTTTCACTGTCAATTACTCAACCATAACAAAATCAGACAAGATTATGAATATATTGATGTTTGATGCAATGAAAATCGTACCTTAATAAACTTTGGCTTGTCTTAAACCACATGTGAAATGTAACTCTCAACCAGAAATTTCAAACAAATCTCTAATTCAGCATCAAACGATCCATCAGGGGCGCTGAACAATTTCTGATCTTTGACACCAAGTTAAAAAATCTTCATACAAATCTACGGCTGCAACAACGTCAAACAGCTGTAAATTGCAACAAACCAGCAGTATAGTAGCCAACAAACATATAAAGATATGCAAGCATCATATATTCTAAGGAGAAAGTTCCCCATATCATTCTTAACTTGTCCTCAATGAATGTCTAATATAATAGAATAATAGGAAAAAAAAAAGGAAATTAGTAAGAAAAACTACCTTGGGAGCTATCAAAATTCAGTTCCACTCCACATTAGGAGGGGAAGGGGTTCATAAATATTTCTACACAACAGGCTCACACTACAAAGAATGAAACAATATGCCTAGGTAGTGCTATACGAAACGCTTATCGATAATCTTGAGGCTTCTCCTCATGCGCGCTACTTCTTTTTTCGTGTCTTTGTCATCAGCTTACCTGTTGCTGATTGTCGTATACAAGGTAGGCTCAGTAAGCTGCTGTCGCTGCTGCATATATGCTTTGGTCATGGGGGTGTGGTACGTATCCGTTACCACCACCATATATGTGTCCTCCGTAGTAGCCTCCATTCCACATATTTCCATAGTCACCTCTTGACTGCCATCCGTATAAGTGAAGTGTTATTTAGCATAGAATCACAGTTCAAGGCAGAAAATAGAATCACAAAAACCTGAAATCTAAACAAGAAACAAACATAGACAGTAGAGAAAATATACCTGTTTGTTTGTAGGGTAGCGGCCCCATGAAAGACAGACAATTTGCTTTCCTATAACTGACCCGTTTAGCTTATTCAAAGCCTCTTCAGCATGACCTCTGAAGGTGATACAATCCACAGTTATAATGTAAGCAATCTAATGAGAGATCAGATCATCAAATTTTTTTTCAGAGCATTGTATAAGCCTCACCTGTTTGCAAATCGCACAAATCCGCATCCTTTCCCTACTGGAATTTTAACATAAAATATCTCCCCATATTGAGAGAAAGGTTGCCTAAGATCCTCGTTTATGACACTAGGATCAAGCCCTCCAACAAAAATCTACAATAATAAAAAGATAGATTCATAATTGAAAGACAAAAAAAAAAAAAAAAAAACAAATTAATCTACTAACTATAATAAATTACTCTAGAAAGTCTATTACAGTTGTGTTTGACGAATCTCCTTCAGATTGAGAACCTTGTCAAGCATTGTTACTTGATCCATATCCACCTAGCAGCAAAAGATTATTTGAAAACACAAACATAAGAGTTCATTAATGTCAAGCATCTATAACTTTTGAGGAAATAGATTATTTAGAAAAGCCTTCTTAATTTTTCCCCCCTCCTGATTCTTTGTTAAACTATTCTTCATCTTAAGTCATAACCAATCATGGTCAACAAATCATGATATGCAATATATATACACTTGAGAATGACAGCGTCATGCTGCACACATATCATAGACACATACACAACATCAACGGACTGAAAAAGGGAGCCTTATTTAATTATGGTGTGTATGTCTGCAAAGATAATCTCTCTGAGCTTATTAATTGGTTGTTAGTATGTAGTTGCAAATTGGTCTTTCATGAGAACATTTCTACCGAACAAATTAAACTTACAAACTAGTGGTAAAGAACTGAAGCCACTTATTCAATTATTATGCACAAAAGGCATGTTTTGTGAACTAGGTACCACAACAACAGAGGTAACTGCTATATGAACTGTTGATTTGGTTAAACAAAAGCAATATTTGAACAAAATTAATGCAAATCAATATAATTAAAATTATGAAGCTGAGTATTTTAGAAACTAACTCTATATCTGAAATAATTCTGCAATTGAAAAATACTAACATCAAGAACTCTTATTACCCAGAAAAATGAATTCACCTCAGCTAATAGCCTAATAAGTTGAGAAATCATCCATAATAAATCACATCAAAGCAATAAAAAAGAAATAAAAAATTCATATCAATTTTATAAACTGCAAATCTCAAAGAGACATACATTCAGCAATATTCGCCCTTGCTATTAGAGGCTCGACGATTCTACTGCCCACCATTTTCATGGAATATAATGAGAAGGTGATCTTTGGTTTAAAATACCCCTTCTTTTTCTTCTATTCGAGGTCCAAACTCTGCTTTGGTCCAACCAATAACTCTAAAACTATGAAAGAATGGAGTAACAAAATCAATGTCCAGTTTTACATGTAAAGAAATAGATCCAAAAAAAATGAAATTAGCAATCCAGTAAATCACTAATGTATAAGAAAATATCTAGAAACTAAGAGATTAATTGTACAAATAGAAATTCAACAAAATCTATAACCTGGGGTTTGAAAACGAGTAAAATTGAATAATTGCAACTTGCAAGTATCAATTAAAATCAAACAAAAAAATGAAAGAAGCAATTTATATCTATTAAGAGTAGAAAATTAACAAAGATTCATGTAAAAATGTAACATGTGAGGAGAACAAGAGCAATGGCTACCGCAAATCGAATTTCAATGCAAACCATCAGATTTGATATAAAGACAATAATTTTTGCCATGATATATAAATTACTGTGATAGATTAAACGCAAGAAGAAAGAGGATCTGAATTTAAACTCTAGGCCATGACTCCGTGAATCTATGTAAAGAACTCAGATGTAATGAAGGAAAAAAGAAGATAGTAGTTTTCGAGATGTTAGAATATGAGGAGTGGGTGTAGGATTCCTGATGTTAGGTGGTTTTTGTGAATGCGGTACATCTATTTGAGTTCACGTGCGGGCCACATGTTAGTATTCTCGACGCTTTTTGTAGTCTAAAATTACTTTCGACTTTAAAAAGCGTCGAGGAAATGCGGGCAACATAATTAGAGGTTGACACCCTTGCTTGGCGTCGAGGCTACAGTGTCGAAAAAACACTCATTTTGTAGTAGTGAAGGAGAATGGCAACGCTAACTCGGTTCATCAGCAACTCAGTTGACAAGGCCCTACCATTCTACCAGCTGCTAAAAGAGAACAGAGAGTTTACGTGGGGAGCTGTAGAAAAAGAAGCTTTAGAGGGCATTAAGGAGCATCTAACTAAGCTCCTAACCATGATCAATCCAAAGCTAAGTGAAAAACTACAGTTGTATATCTCTGCCTTAATTCAAACAATTGCATTTGTTCTCTTGGTAAAAAGACAAAACAACAGAGATCGGTATACTTTGTGAGCCATGTGCTGACTGAGGCTAAGCAGAGATACCCGTTGGTAGAGAAGTTGGTTTTGGCAGTGGTAACAATGGCAAGAAAGCTGAAACCTTACATTGACGCGGACACAATCTAAATCCTTACAAATCACCCACTGGAGATAGCCTTGCAACAAATGGACTCTTCGGGCAAGCTCTTTAAATGGGCAATTAAGCTCTCTGAGTATGAATTCGAGGTCAAGCCTAGGGCAGCCATCAAGGCTCAAGCCTAGCGGACTTCATAGTAGAAGCATCTTATGAGGAGAAAGAGGACAAAATTGGAATCAAGAAAGTGGCAGTGGACGGATCGTCAGCCCAAATAGGTAGTGGGGCAGGAATCATCAAAATAACATCGCCAAAGGGCAATGTGTTTTAAGTTCATGTTTAAGGCATCGAACAACGAGGTATAGTATAAGGAAACTTTGGCAGGTCTGCGAATGAGCATCGTAGCTGGAGTCAGGAAAGTGCACCTGTAGATTGACTCCCAGTTAATCGCCTGTCAGCTGAAGGGGGAGTATGAGGCCAGAGTGCCCACAATGCTAAGATACACAACGAAGGTGAAAGAGGTGGTGGCTCAACTAATGCATTTCCAGATATACTTGGTCACTAGAGTAGAAAATTCCCAAGCTGATGCATTGTCAAAGTTAGCTAGTTCCATCCTGCAGAGCCTCACAAGGACTGTAATGGTGGAAGTCCTTGAGGAAAGCAGCGTTGTAGAAAGTGAGTGTGTGAAAAACATCGTGCAGCAGCGAGCATGGTTCATAGACATACTAACGTATAAGATTCATGGCTCGCTGCTAGATGATAAAGTGCAAGCCAAGAAAATCAAAAAGGATTCCAACTGGTATGTAGTGATGAATGGGGAGCTCAATAAGAGGGTTTCTCAAAACCACTGCTAAAGTGTATCCCAGGGTGGGAACAGGAGAAGAATGTAGAAGAAGCGCACTCAGGATTATGTGCCAACCACATCGGTGGAAAAGCCTTGGGAGTGGAAGTGCTCAGAAGGGGGCATATTGGCCAACTCTAACACAAGATGCATTAGCATATGTCAAGAAGTGCGAGAAGTGCCAAAAGTACTCCCCAATCATAAATCAGCCAGCAAACGATCTTACCCCGATCCTAGGCCCGATCTTGTTTGCTTAGTGGGGTATGGATATATTGGGACCTTTCACCACTGGGTTAGCGGGTAGGAAGTATCTCATAGTAGCAGTAGATTACTTCACCAAATGGATAAAAGTTGAGCCTACTAAGTACATCAAAGCGGTCCATGTGAGAACGTTCATATAGAAGAACATCATAACAAGGTTTGGGGTGCCGCAATGCATAGTTTTTTTTTATCATGGGTGCCAATTCGACTACGACACAATCGAGGATCACCTGGAGGAAATGGGCACCAAATATACAAGTGGCTCAGTCTGCCACCCGCAAAGGAATAGCCAAGTTGAGGCAGCAAACAAGCTGTTCCTAACAGCCTTGAAAAGGAAGCTGGAGGGAACATAAAGGTCAATAGGCTGAATTAGTCCCAGAGGTACTATGGGAAAATAGAACCACCGAGAAAGTGTCTACTGGAAAAAAACCCCTATCACCCTGGCCTACGGGGATGATGTAGTCATCCCAGTGGAAGTGTGTTTTGGGTGTTTTTGTCCCTCGAGAGAGTTACGTCACAAAGATCTGTCCGGCTGAGTTCTGCAAAACAACGGAGACTCCGAGTGGTTGGAGCTCCGCTTCCGAAGATCAAGTTAGTAACTTGAAAGAGAATAAAGGGTGCGGAAATTTAGGTGGGGATCTGATTGGATTCCAAGCTCAGGTGATTCTCATATGAGAGAGAAAGTAGGTGTAATAAATGATTGAATGTGTCTCCAAAATGGGGAAATATCTCCCTATTTATAGGATCGTTGGAGAATGTGCCCATATCTAGGTCACTTGACCTAGATTTTAGTGGGTTGCGCCGTTTTACGGCGCTTATAGGGATTTGGGCCCATGAAGGCCGCCATTTTAGAAGCCTATCTTAGGGGGCCACGTGTCAAGAGGACATTGGGCCACTTGAGCCATCCTGAGCTCACCACGTGGCCTCCTCTCATTGGTCCACCTGTCTAGGGTATTTTTACCCTAAACATTTGCCCCTCACAGGGGTCACGTGCATGTCACGTGACACCTGTGACACGTATCCACCCATCAAGGGTGAACAGTAACAACGGATAGTAATTTGAAATTCAAATGGGAATGCCCCTGTTTCACCCTTCTATAAATAGAAGGGGGTTCATTTTCTTTGACTTTCTAGAGAGAGATAAAGGAGAATTTTAGAGAGAGATTCTCTGCTTCCGTCTGCGTCAGAATTTTTAGGATTAGCGCGTGCTAACGTTGCAACACCTGGCTCACTGTCTTTAGCTGTTTTCAGATTTTTCAGAGCTAAAGTAAGGTAACCGCCTGTACCATCTTTAGCTTTTCTCTTTTTCAACTTGTATACATTCTTTCTCCGCCTGTATACATAGATTAGAAGTAAAAATGAATTCTTAATCCACACGCTCGGCACTACCTAGGACACTCAGCCGGTCTCCCGGAACAGCTGAGTCTAGAACAGAGGGTGCCTTTTCTGGACTGTCATAATTGCTGTGCTCATCTCCGAATTCCTCCCTCTTTGTGTCTGTGCAGGACACAATGGCCAAAGTCCAACAGACGGCCAGAAAGTCTAGGAGCCGGCGCACTATGGCATTGCCAGCCGATGAGATTGTTTCGGATGGGGAACATGAGGATTTGGAGGAGAGTGGTTCTGATGAAGGGGCTCCCTCTTCTTCCGGGAGCTCGGACGTACGGGAGGAAGGCGGTGAAGAAGACGCATCATCTAATGGATCCGGCGATGATGAGGCCGGTGATAGGTCGAGGGCCGAAACTTCTGGCTCTGACCAGGATAACTTTGCGGCTGACTATCTGCAGCCACCGAAAGTCGCTGACAACCCCAACCCTTAAAGAATTAGAATGCTTTTGGGTGACATTGTCCTGTTAAAGAGAGGTTTTAGGGATTTCAAAGAGAAGCACCCCTTTGGAAAGGGGTGGGATATTATCGTCCCGCCTGCTGATGTAGTAATGGCATGGGACGATGACATTGATAATGCAGACCACTACTTTGTCTGCTACGAGGCGGTTATAAAAGCCGGCCTCTGGTTCCCCCTCCATACCAGAATTAGGAAAATCCTAAAGGGGTATGATCTAGGAGTTTGGCAGCTCACCCCCAACTCGTGGGTGAACATTTTAAGTTACATTTTCGCCTGCGAGCTCCAGACTTAGCTCCCAGCTTCTCCGCCTTCGCTCATAAGCATTACTTGCGCAAGGCACCATGCGGTCATGGGGCGTGGTACACTCTTTCTACCTTGCCCCAATACTTGATGAGTTTGGACAAGGTGTCCAAGTGGTCAGGGTGGAAAGATAAGTTTTATTCGATTTCTTCTCCAACTCTGAGACACAACCAGACACTGCGCCGGTACAACAAGGAATCGGTTCTTCTGGGCATGAAATGCCCCCTCCCAGCGCTCTCCACTAGGGTTTGGGAACAATAATAGAACCGGGTTTCTTTGAAACCACTACTGAGCCCATGGAGGATGGGACTCATATTATAGTTCCAAAAAACCAGATCCCCCAACTGGACTACTTCAAGGACGAATGCTTCTTGTCCACCTGTGGGTAAAGTCCCATGTTTCCCAAGGGTAGATCCACTTGCATCCGGAATGTTTGTAAATTTATTTTTTCATTACAAACTTTCCATAATTTATTCTAACTTTTTATTTCTTCGTGCGGCCGACGCCTTGAAGATGGTTGACCCAGCCAAAACCTCGACTAAGTGAACGGCGCTACTGCACAAGGAGGTTGCTATTACAAAGAAAGCAGCCGTTGAAGCCAAAGAGTCCAAGAAAGGCGGGGTAAGACCACCTGACTTAGTATAAATATTTTATTTTATTCATATATATATATATATATATATATATATTTTGCAAAGGCAACTTGCCTGTTGGGTATATTCAACTTTCTTAATTTGCAGGACTCTGTAAAACGCGTGCCTCGATCCTTCTCCAAGCTTTTCAAAAGGCAAGGAGAGGATTTGGAAAAGGCTCCGGATGCCAAGGCCGCTAGGAAGGACCCTCCTCGGTCAAGCTCTACTGCCAAAACCGATCGTCCCACGACTGGTGGAAAATCCCCTAATGCAAAGAAGATTCTTAGCGAAGGCTCAGAACGTTCGCAACAGAATGCGCCGGATGCCTCCACGGCATCGAAGGGTGGCCCGCCACCTAATGTTGCAGCCGGTGCGGCAACAACTGGGGAGGAGGAGGCTCTTAAGCCCCATTCGGAAACCCAAGGTAAGGGAAATATTGAAATACCTTGGCCACTTGACTTCATGAGAGTCAAGACTAAGGTAGACCCCTCTAGGGGTTCAGTCAGCAGCCGACAACGGATGAATGCCAACTATGCTGCTTTCTTTTCACAAAGTACTTCTACTTTTGGTGAAGAT